ATATTGTTTCTCTTGATTCTGAATTTTGATATGTGAAATCGTTAGGATATCAGATCAGGATAAGAGTAGATATTTTATAAAGAAAGATATCATATTTAATGAAAAGATCTTATAGTTCAAACTTATCTGATAAACATGGTGAAATTTCATAGTGTGTTTCAGATGTATTAATATTTTTTTTTAATAGAAAAAATCAACAAAAGAGAAAGGAGATAATTTTGAAGCAGACCTTGTTATCAATTTAGTTAGAAATGGTATTGAAGCTAATGTAACTAAAACATATATTAAAAAAGATAAAGAGTTTATACCGATTGGAGATGGATGTGTAGATTTATTTGGAAATTATAAAACGATGAATTATATAATTCAAGCAAAATACAGAACTAAGCCTGATGACAAAGAAGCATATGTCAGTCCTAAAGATATTAGAGAATTTGCAGCAGTTTTGATGCAGCAACCTAATGGTACTGTTGGATTTTTTGTATCGAATGCTAAATTTTCAAATAGAGCTGAAAATACTGCAACAAATTCAAAACTAAATCTCATATTATGTAATGAAGAAAACATTGTCGAAAAGATCAAAGAAGCTCAATTGAAACTTGAAAATTCTTTGAACGAAGAAATTGTTATTGAAGATATAACAACTAATGAGAATACTAATACTGATATATATGGTGTTAAAATTAATGGTTGTATTAGAATAGGTCGAATGTACTTGAAAAAACATAGAAAAAATCCATATCCATAATCTATCTAGTGAATTTATCACCAGGTAGAATTTTCTGTACGTGTTCTAAAAAATGTCTGAAACTGAATTTTGCTCTGATTGTAAAACAAAAAAAAGAAAATATATTGAAATTGAAAATATTGAAAATGAAGCAGAACATATTATTCTTCAAGAAGAACTTAAAGATAATTATTATAAAATTAAACAAGAATTAACTGAAGAAAAATGGTTCATGGATTTAGTAGATCAGAAAGCAAAAAATAAATTGAAACAAAAGTATCCTGATATTGTATTCGAAGATAACAAGATTAGTATTAAAAAAAGAAAGAAGACTCATGTGAAAAGAATAGTTCTTACAGGAACTATCGGAGCTGGAAAAACAACTCTTTCTTCATTTATGTCAGAATATTTTGAGAAAAAAGGATTAAAAGTCTTTATACCAGAAGAGATTTCACTTAAGATTAAAGAAGATTTGGATCTTCTCTGTAAAGATAAAGAGAAATATGGATTCTTTTTTCAAGATTTGATTATTGACACATACAAAAAGATGATAGAAAGTATTGATTCTGTAACTAATGATTATGATATCATTATTTTTGATCGAACCTATCTTGATACAGAAGTTTTCAACAATATTAATTCTAATGATGATCTGAAATCATTTTATTTGAAAACAAAATGTGAAATGATTGATTCACAGGTTTTTGATTACGTGTTTTATGTTAAGAGTTCTGAAGATACTTCGATTAAAAGACAGAAGGAAAGAAACAGAGAAGGGGAAACATATTCTGAGGAGTATATGCGAAAAGTTTACAGAGAATACGAGAGGATCATCAATAAAATGTATCCAAAACATATTGTATTTGATACAGAAGAAGATGTTTATTTGAAGGATAAAGATAGATATGTATTGGATAAAGATGGTAAAAAACAAATCAACAAACAAGTTCTTGATAATTACCATCGAATGTTTGATAGAGTATTAGTTCAAACTATACTTACTGTACCTTTTAAAACATAAATTATATTTTTATTCAAATTTACAAATATTTATATTTATCTCTACTTAGTATAATTGTACCAAGTAGAATTTTATATTCGTAAATGTCTTTAATAAAAAATACTCAAACAGAAAAATATTCTAATATTTTTAAAAAACAAAGTATTAGTAATCGTTCTGAATTGTTAAAAGAAGATATTGATAGTAAATTATTTTTTATATACGATGCTACTGATTCTAAAGATCCAAAACATGGATATGTAATGAAATTACATGCTGTTCGTTTTGATGGAAAAAAGATCAGTATTGATTTGTTAATTGGTGATGTCTTTTTTGATATCAAGTTAAATGATGAAGAATTGATTGATGAATATGTTGATGAGTTTGAAGCTGATAGTTATGAAACTTTTTATAAGCAGCCTTTTGATTCAACAGAGAGATATAAATTTATACGATTATATTTCAAAGATCATACCTTTCATAGAAAAGCACTTGAAAAGATAAAAGAGATTGAAGATGATTTGAATGAAGAGTATGAAGAAGTAAAAAAATCATTAATAGATGAAAAAGATATACGTGAACGAATAGAAGAATTTTGGAAACGCTATGATACATATTCTGATGATCCTTCATGTCACTATCGTAAGATAGCACGTGAGAATGATTTTGAGATAGTAGGATGGTATAGATTATTAAATCCAGATATTCCACTTACTGGATATATGAGTATAAAATTATCAGATATCGAAAAGATAGAATTTAATGAGCAACCTAAACTTCTCATATTATCATGGGATATTGAGACTAGTAGCACACGAGGACCAGGTTATTTTCCTGTAGGTGAACAGAAAGAAGATTATGTATACATGATACAAGTTGATCTTTACTGGTTATCCGAAAAAGAACCTGTTAAACGTTATTGTTTAACTTCGATATTTGTTGATAAAGAATTATTTGAAAAAACATATCGAATACCAATGGATAATTTTGAATTCGTATATTGTAAAACACAAGAGGAAATTATATTAAGATTTGCAGAAATAGTAGGGAATTACAATCCAGATATTGATTGTGGATATAACATCTTTGGATATGATTGGAATTTCATATTAAAGAAAGTAAAAATGTATAATTTAGAAGATGAATTCACACGAAGATTATTAGGTAATGTTGCACCTATTTATTATAATATTAAAGAAACAAAAGTAAAAGTATTTGAGAAGAATGTTGAAGAGAAAATGGCTAAATATGCATTTGCTGGTTTAAATATAAACAATCGAAATATAAAATTTAATCCAAATGAGACAATGGACTGTGAATATTATTATATATCAGGAACTATAAACATAGATTTGTTGGTGTGGGCAAAAAAAACATTTCCAACTGAGATAACAAATACTTTAGATGCAGTTTTGGTAAGATGTGGTCTCAAAGGAAAGATCGATTTACCATATATTCCAAATGAAACATCTTTCAAAGAACATGATGATTTACGTTGCATGTTCATATATGTGAATGCAGTAAAATTCAAAAATCATTTTGTAATGTTAAAACGTTTAGCAGAACAATTATCAAAACTCTGTAAATTCATTAGTTATGAAAGATGTTTATCAGAATTTCTTGTAGATGATAAGACACTTGAAAGATATGCTGTTGATATAGCATATTATTGTTCAGTTGATTCAATACGTTGTCAAGAGTTGATGATAAAACGAAATGTGATAGGAGACTACATACAGTTTGCGAAATTAACATGTGTAACAATTTCTAATGTGTTTATGAATGGTGTTGGATGTATGGTAAGAAATTTTTATGGGAGATATGTATCAAAACATGATATGTTAATTTCGATGAAACGTAAAGGTATAATAGAGATTGGTAGTAAATATGAAGGAGGATTGGTATTAGAGCCAAATGAATTTGAAATTACAGATCTTTATAAACATTTGAACGAATTTTCAGAAATATTAAAGATGCCAATTAAAGATTTAATTGAATATCTTAATACGTTAGGTATTCAATTACCAGTAGCTGATTTAGATTTTACATCTATGTACCCTAGTGCTATAATAGCACAAAATATATCTAAAGACACAAATGTTGATATTGATTCACAAGACGATGATCTGAATACTGTAACAGATAGAGGTGTTATTTATGGTAAATTCAAGAAGCATCATAATGATCTAATAAGGATGGGATTGATGCCATTGATGTGTAAAGAATTATTATCTGAAAGAGGTGATGCTAAGAAGAATATAAAGATAAATCAGTTAAATGAAACTTTGAGAAAACATTATGAATCATTATCTCTCGCGTTGAAGGTACTTGCAAACTCTATATATGGTGAGAATGGTTATGTATTCTCACCACTTTATAAGAAAGAGATATCATCATCTGTAACAGCATTTGCACGTTATTGTCTTAGATTAGTAATAGAATATGCTAAAAGTCTTGGGTATATAATAATTTATGGAGATACAGATTCATTTTTCTTCATAATTCCTATAAAAGAATTTATACATTTATTCAACAAATATTATATCAAGAGAAAAATATCACCTCTCATACTTTCAAAGATAAAACAATTGTTTTTGTATGAGATGATAAAGAAGACATTTGAGTTATCAAAAGATCTAGAATATAAAGTTAACGAATTTCTTAAACAACATGTTGGAAGTTCGTATATGAAGATAGCTTACGAAAAAACCGTGATGCCATGGAGATTTTTTCAAAAGAAACAATATTGTGGTATTGTTCATGAGAATAGTGTTGAATTTGATTCACCAAATATATTTAAAAAAGGATTAAAGGCTGTGAAGAGAAATGCATCAATGTTCTATAAGTTAGTTGCTGTGGAGATGCTATGGATGGTGCTAGGATTTGATGAGAATCGATTTTTACTGAATGAAAATATAACTTCAATGCAAGTTGTTCGTAGGATAATAAAAAAATATCTAAAGAAAAAATTTGACAATGACCTTGAAGCATTCAAGCTCACAGCAAAATATGATCCGAATTATAGTAGAATGACTGTTAGAGAATTTGAAAAATGGAAAGATATTGAGACAACAAAAGGAAACAAGATGGTAATAAATTTTGCAACACGTATGAAAGATAAATTTAAAATCATAATTGAACCAGGACGATTTTACTACTTCATCATCATATTTGATGGAAAGAGTATATCAGAAAAAATGTGGCCATGTTCAGAATTTAAGAGAAAAGAGAAAATCCAAGAAAAACAAAAAGAATTAGAAGATGAAAAAAGTAAAGATAAACAGCAAAAAGAAAGATTTCAAGAGATAGATACACTTCATTATTTTATAAGCTTGAAAGATATATGTTCAAATATACTTTGTTGTGATGTGAAAAAAGCAGAGGAAATAATCAAAAAGATAACTCAAGAAGAAAATCAGAAGCTTATTACTGATTATTTTGGAGATTCTTCTATCCAAATACCAGAAATAAAAATAGAACCAAAGAAAAGAAAGAAAGCAAAAGAAGTTGATATTCTTGTTCCTAAAAGAATGCGTATAGAAACATTATTTGAAAATTATCGAAAACAAAAACTAGAAATTACTGATTCAGATATCCTTATGATAAACGATATGTAACTGATATCAAGAGAAGAATCTGTGATGGATGTAAGAAATTCACAAATCTTCAACGAATTACAGTTAAAAATTATACATGTATGTTTGAAACATGTGAAATCTATAATATTGTATCAGATATATTAAAGAACGGAGAGATAAAAGAATGTTGTCCAAAACGGTATATGTTTCTCGACAAATATAAGTGTATAAACTGTAAAACATTAGATGCTTTCCATATGCACAACTTATGTCACAATTGTTATTCAGAAGCAAAACAGAAATCAGATGAAGATTTTTGTTTAGAAATTATTAATGATTTAATTAAAAATTAAAGTTATTAATATTTATATTTTTTTAAAAAAAATTATATATACCTAAAGGATGAAACATATCGTCGTATGGGTATTGATAATCCAGATATAGTTAATTTAGAAGAGTTTGATAATATAAAAGAAGAAGTTGAGGATACTATCACAAGTTCTGCATATATTATTACCTCTTTTAACTCTGATGAAGAGTTAAAAAAACATAAAGAATCAGATAATTTTAAATATATTATTAATCGTGAAACTATGCGACAGTATCGTAACTGGATAAAACTTGAATTAGATGAATTGTAATTATTATATTATTTTTTAATAAATTTTTTTAATTGCTCAGTGAGTTAATCACCGAGCAATTTTTTAACTATGTAATCATGAGCAATCTTGATTTCGATGTTTTGCATCAGATTTTCTCTTATCTAACTTTTAGAGAACAATCGAAACTGAAAAGAACATGTAGATTATTTAATCAAGTGTGTTCATCTTATGATATAAATGAAGTAAAACATGGATTTTATGAGTTTGTAAATGATTGGAAAGTGTTAATTTACAGATTCAAACTTACTGAAGATAAAAAATATGTATGGATAAAAAATGGAGACAGGATGGAAAAAAGAGAATTATTCCGAAACAAAGAAGTAAATTATTGTTGTGGAGGTGTTAATCGAACTGTTTTTCATTATCGTTGTGGAGGTGGTAATCAAAGTGCTATTTTGAATATATGTGAACTTGCTAAAGTTGAAGAGCTACATATGAATTACTGCAATTATTGTACTGATTTTAATTATTATTGTTGTATATCTAAACCATCTTATGGACTTGGTTTTTATTTTCCATGTGATTTATGTGAAAAGAAAGAAATACATCTTCATAAAATATGTAAAAAATGTTATGATTCAAAACATTCAAGGAAACTTGGATTTGTAAAAGAAACAATTTTTGTTGAATAATCTAGTTAGTCATCAGACCATCTAGATTTTTATTTACGTAAAATTATAACAAAAAAAAATAGTTATAAATTTTACACAAAAAATGAATAATAAACAAATTCTTGATAAATTATATGAAATTCAAAAAATTTTGAATGAAATGTGTGGTTGGAAAAATAGTGAAAAAGTAGATGAAATACTTGAAATATTCAAATTAATTCCTGAATTAACAAAAGATGAAACAGAAGTTCAAAAATTGATAAAAGATTCTTTAGGTAAATATTGTTGGGAAGATTATGTAGATAAAGCTAAAGATGAATTAAGAGTTATTATCGAGGAAAGAGAATTAGCAAAAAGAATTGGTTTTTATTTGAATCAAGGAAAAAAAACCAAAAATGATTTTGATATTTTCTTTCAAAATATTGAAAAATAATTTAAGTAAACAAATCTAGTCAGTTATCAAACTGATTAGATATTAAATTCTGTAAAGATGATTACGAATTATTAACAAAAAAAAATGATTCCTTATGAAACATTAAAAATAATTTTTGACTATCTTGATTATAATGATTTGAAATCATTCTCATTAACATGTAGGGTTATAAAGGAAGCATATATACGTTATATGTACCCTAACCCTAAACGAGATGTGTTTGTTTCTGAAAATATTCTGAGTCCTACAATTTTTAGATTTAATACTTTGATTTTAACAAAAAAATTTAAGATTCCAGATTTTGTTATTTTCGATAAAGATTTATTACCATGTGATCATTGTGGTTCAAGTGTTTGTTGTAGTATAGAGAAACCATGCACACGATGTGTAAGTTCTAAGAAAAAATGTACATATGGGAATGTTAGAAACCCTAAAAAACGTATAACTTTCAAAGATAACAGATACTATTGTACATCACCATTTAACATATCACAAAAACTTGTTTGTATTAAAAAAGAAAATATTGGTAAAAGTATTTGTGAGAAATGTAAAAAGTTGAAAAAATGTTGGTATAATAATGTGTTTAATAACTGTAGTGTTCCAAATTGCAACTTACAGAGAAATTCAGATACTATAAACACATTACAACATTGGTCTATTTATCATCTTCATAATCTATGTCAACCATGTTTTAAAACTTTTCCAGATCATTTTGATGTACGATTTGAGAAGAACTCAATTTGGTTAGGAGATTAAAACAATAGCTTTATTTAAAAAATAATAATTTATCAATTTATTTATTACCTTTTTTTAAAAGAAAATCTTCTAAATATAAATAAATTATTTCAATTAAAGAAAATATTATTCCAATAAAAGATGTTGAAGTACGTATAAATTCATCATCTTGAAAGTAAAATGATAAGGTTACTAAAATAAAAATCTGAATCATGTATTTTTTAAAATTATATTCTGATATTTTTTTACGTTGTTTAATCATATCAATAGATATTTCTTTAATTGTTTCTTTTAAAAGTTTATTCTTATATTCTAAGATTTCATTATCAAGAACTAAATTTTTATTTTGGTTTATATAATATCTTGTTGCAGGATATATTTTTTTCATTTTTTAAAAATTTAATTATTTTTTAAAGTCATATTTATAATTATTTTTTTAATATAAATAACTTTGATTTTATCCTTCGTCTAAAAAAAAAAATGAAATTTCTAAATTACATATTGTTTGATCATAACATGATTGGCATCAGAGACTATGTTGAGATTGATAAATTTTACAACAAAAACCAAGAATCACAACGGATAATAAACTATATAAAATCCAATAATGATTTTAAGATGGACAAGTTTGAGAAATATCTTACTATGATAGACAAATGGAAATCATGTAAAAGTTCTATAAATAACAGCAATTATATATACAAGTTGCAGATAGAATATATCGATGAACTTCATACAATGATATTAACAGAACATATATCAAAAGCAAATTCTAAAATAATATTTATCAAGGAGCACATATTTTATTAATTTTATTACGTAACTACAATATAATTAATAATTTAAAAATTGTGGCTTAGCTTTTAAATAATTATTTAAAGGCTCAATTTTTCCTTACTGTTTTTTTTTAAAAAAAAAAGATAAAAATTTATTTAATAAAATATTAAAAAAATCAAGGTGAGAGAGTCGTTACTGTGTCTTCCTTGTTTATCATCCGATATTCAACATTCACTAACTCTCACTATCGCACACTATCATGCTTGATCGCCTGATCACTGCATGTTTTTTTAGATGGGAAAATGCAAACCTGGTTATTATGCTGTATCAGTAGGTCGCAAAAAAGGAATTTATCAAACTTGGGAAGAATGTAAAGCGCAAGTTTGTAAGTTCCCAAATGCAAGATACAAAAAATTTTACGATTTAAAGCAAGCACAAAATTATGTTGATGGTAAAAAAGAAGTTATTGAGATTGATACTAGTAAATATCAAGTTTGGACTGATGGTAGTTCATATGATAATGGTTCAAAAGATGCTAAAGCAGGTATTGGAGTATATTGGGGTCATAAAGATCCAAGAAATTTATCTGAACGTTTACCTGGAGAAGAACAAACTAATAATCGAGCAGAGATTTATGCAACAATACGAGCTCTTGAAACATGTAAAGATAAGAAAAAAAAGTTAGAAATTATGACCGATAGTAAATATGTAATTAAATCTGTTAACGAATGGATTGAAAAATGGGAAAAAAATGGTTGGATTACATATAGAAAAGAACCTGTTAAGAATATTGATCTTTTTAAAAAATTAAAAAAATTGATAGATAACAGAATAGGAACAGTAAATTTTATTTATGTTAAAGGTCATGTTGGAAATCATGGTAATGAACAAGCTGATAAATTAGCAAAAGAAGGCTCTCTTAAAGAGGCAATTGAGATTAATGAAATTGTAACTGACAAAAAAATCACAGACTTTTTCAAAAAATAATAAATTTTTATTTATTTTTTATTTTTATTTAAATATATCTTAATTCTTTATAAATTCATAAATTTTTTTTAAACTAATTTGATATTGAAAACATAACGTCGACGAAGGAGATGGCTATTTTTTCAATATCAAATACCCAACCAACACTGCTGAGGGAGGGTTGGGATTGTATGATAGTGTGCATTCACGATATTTTGTGGTGGTGGCAGACCAACCACAAAATAATCGTAATAGCTATTTTCACTCGATGGCAGATCAGAGTGAAAATAAGCGTTTAATTTTAAAAAAAATAATAATTAATTAAAAATATATATAAATAATAATCAATTTATTTAATTTAATCTAAATACCTTTTGTTCCTATAAGGAAAAAAATACATATTATATTACAACATCAATTAAAAAAGAAAATAATAAATATACAACTTTAAAATTTCATCGATTGATATATAAATTTATTATTAATTTTTTTTTTTAAACTGACTCAGAGAAACAAAAATAAATATAAAAACTTAATATTTCATATCGACTAAAAAAATAATTTTTAAAAAAATATTTTATAATGAATCATTATGATGTTCAGTTAAAAAAAGGAGAAATTTATGAATATAGGATTCTTAAATTACTTAGATCAAATGGTATTAAATGTTATGCTCGTCGCTTATATTATGAAATCAATAATAATAAAAAATTTATCGGTGATGGTGGAATAGATTTAACTGGAAATTATAATGAAGTATTTTTTGCTATTCAAGCAAAGTATAGAAAGAATCGTTATGATGAACAAGCTGAAGATATTGAAAAATTTGATAAAGCTTTAGAATCACAACCTAGAGAAGTAGTAGGATTTTTTGTAACAACTATTGATTTTTCAGTCGAATCTAAAGAAGCAGCATTAAATTCTAAAAGAAAGATATTTTTATGTAATACAGACAATATCGTTAGTAAAATTAAAAGTTTATCATTGGTAAAAGAAAAAGTATATAAAAAAAATATAATACTAGATGATAAAGAACAATCATTAAAACCTTCAGCTAGTTATTTGAAACAGTTAAATGAAGTAAAGAATATATTAGAAACTGATGAAGATAAAATTGAAATTAAAATAAAAAATAAAAATATTTATTTAATGTTAGTTGAAAAACGAATAGATAAATGGGAAAATAATGGATGGCGTGGACAAAATAATCAAGAACTTAAAGCACCAAGAAAATTATGTAATGAGATTAATGAATTACTTAAAAAGAAAATTAATGTAACTTTTTATTATCTTAAAAATCAAAATTAGTTTTTTTTTAATACGTATAAATAAATTTTAAAATTACAATATAAATAAAATTTAAAAGTATAAAATAAATAAATTTATACTGTTTGTTTATTTTTTTACAAAAAAAAATGACTTTAGATAAATCTTTGTTACTCAATCTTGTAAATAAAGAACGAAAGAAAAAAAAACTTAAACCATTAGATGAGTAAGTTATAATTAAATTATTTTTTTTTAATAATGATAATAATATTTATTTTTTGATGATTCTGGTCCAGTACATTTAAGAGCTAAAAAACAAAATTACGATTCTACATATGTTGGAGAAAATATAGCATGGAATTATGAAAATGAACATGATGTAGTTAAAGGGTAATTTTTTTGTTTAATAATTTTAATTTTAAAAAAAAAATAATTTAAAAATATTTTTTTTTATATAGATGGATGGGTTCTAAAGGTCATCGTGAAAATATATTAAATAAAAATTATAAACATATGGGTATAGCTTATTCTAAAAAATATTGGACGCAAGTTTTTGGTAAGGAACTTGTATAAAATTTACAATACAAATTACAATACAAATATAAATAAATTTATAGTATATATTTTAAAATTTTATTCAATATATATTTTAATTTATTTTTATATAAAAAAATTTTTAATTGTAATAAAAACTTGAATATTTTTAATTTTCGTTTTATAGTTTTAATTATATTGTATGATATCATTATTATTTTAAAATTTGTTATCAGGTTTAAAAAAGTTTATCTGATTATCTATTTATAGATTATTCAAATAAATTTTAATTAAAAATTTGATTATCCTAATTTGAAAACAAAGAAAACTATAAAAACAGATGATATACATAAATTGAATATAAAAATAATTGTAAAAAAAATGAAGTTTTTAGAAAATTCTCAACGTATTTTTTTAGTAGTTTTAAGGTAAATAATTATTTTATTTAATAAAAAAAATATGAATATTAAATATATTTTTTTATTTAGTATGCCTGTTCAAAAAAAGAAGTCTCGTATCAAATCACAACCATATCCTACAAACAAATTTTCTATGAAAGAATTAAGATTAAGTCTTCCTCAAAACAAAACTAATAATCAAGAAAATATTTGGTTAGAGTTTGAAAAATTAAAACGAGAAAATGAAAGATTAACTATAGAGAAAAATCATTTGTTTAAAGTTAATGATTATTTGATAAATGATAATCTTGCATTGAAACAAAAAATTCAAAAATGCACATGTATGAGTATTTCAACTAAAACAGATATTATGAGTATCGAATAATATAAGTTTTGTTTTATAATATATAAATAAAATTTATTATAAGTTTATCCGAGATAAGTTTTTTAAAATAATTATAAATAAAGTAAAAGTTTTGATAATAAAATTAAAAAAAAAAAATGGAGCAAAATGAAGAACCAGCGTATGAAACAGAAGAAGAATGTATTCAAGATTTTTTTACAAAAAATCTTGAACAATTGAAATATTACAAATCATCATTTTGTTGCATTTCTATTTTTTGTACTGGTAATTGTGAATTAGAACAAGCCGATAATTGTAAAAATAATATTCGTAAAGCATATTTTCCTGCAGTCAAAACATATTTAGCATATGATTGTGTAAGGGAATCAAAAGATGTACAAGAATTCATGATTAAATTAGAAGAATTAAAGAATACATGTTCTGAGAATTTTTTGTATAAATTAGTAGAATTAATCGATAGTTTATCTAAATATGAA